TCTTTCTTTCTTTCTTTCTTTCTTTCTTTCTTTCTTTCTTTCTTTCTTTCTTTCGGCTGTTTTTTTGGGCCTGTGGGAACGTGTTTGGAGTCGGCAAGCTTGGTTTTCGGAGGAGAGGGGCTGGCTGTGGCACAGGAAACACTGGGATGTCTGAGGGGACTGGGGTGTGATTTCTTGCTGGCCGGAGAGGCAGCTGACGTGCTCGGTGTGGCTGGTTTGGTGCCTTCTAGAGGAGGACCCCAGTCTGGGGCTGTAAGTAGCCCTGGTTCTGAGCAATTCACTCTGATTTAACCCGCTCGGCCGTGCCCCCAGGCCACCTGCGATGACACATTCACAGGAGCAGGCTGTGGGTTGCGGCAGGGATGGGGTTGCAGGAGGGGGTGAGGGTTCCGGCTGGGGGTGCAGGCTCTGAGGTGAGGCTGGGGATGAGGTGTTGGGGTGCAGGAGGGGGCACCAAGCTTGGGCCAAGGAATTGGAGCGTAGGGCAGGTTCAGAGCAGGAGCTTGGGTGTGGGGGTCTGGGTAGGGTGCAGCAGGGGGCTGAGGGTTGGGCTGTGGAGTCTAGGAGGCAGCTAAGGTGCTGAAGCAGGCTCAGGCCTGGATCTCATGGTTGGGGTGCAGGATCTGGAGGAGGGTTAGGGTGTGGGGGGCTCAGGCTTGCAGTAGGGGTCTGGGAGAGTTAGGGTGCAGGAGGGGGTTAGGGCTAGGGCAGGCATGGGGGGGTGCTTACATAGGGCAGCTGTTCTTTGGGGGGGGACAGGTGTCTCCGTGTGACACACACTCCCCGCACTCACCTGCAGGTGCCGCCCCCATGTTAGAGCAGCCTCAAGCATCGCTCTGAGCCAGCGAGGGCCCGGGGGGCTCTCTGTGTGGCCCACGAGACACGTTGCTAGGCGTGGGGTTGCCTGGTGACACTGCTCTCCATCTGCATTGGTTTTTCCTACCGCCATCAGCGACGTGACACACGCACACTAGGGCCGGGCAGTGAGGTGTGTGAGGGACGGGCCCCAGAGACCGTCTCGGTTACGACAATCTCATGCCCTACGGAGGTGAAGGAGGGCCACCCATGCGGCCCCCTCACTAGCCTTGGTTGCCATGGCTAGCCTGGATAGTGAGATACTGGGCGTGGGGTCCGGCTCAAGCCCTTTTCTAGAACGAGTGTGTGTGTGTTTAAACGAGGACTTGTCGTTTGGGACTAAGGGACAGAGCGATTTCTGCTCCTCTGTGCGGCTCCGTCCGTCATATATACAGGTCAAAAGCCCCGTGTCCCAGAGTTCCTTGTGTGCAGGCCGGTGGGCGGGACAGCTGGTGGGAGGGGAACGCAAAGCACTCAGGCTCCTGTTCTGTTAAAGAAAAATAGCAAAGGGGGGGGCACTTTTCAGAAATGGAGAACACGCGTCAGTCATTTCAGAATTAAACCAGCCTCGTTTCCATGGCTCCTGAGCGGGTATGTGTGGGAGGAGAGATTGCGCAAGGTGTGTGGGAGGGGGCCCGTGTGACACATTTGTCCTGGGCCCGAAAACATCATGTTCGTGTTCTGGTGATGGTGCATTTCATTGAATTGTTTCCACGGTTAATTCCGCCCACTGGTCAAAAGGCATCGCTTATTCATTAGAACATAGGAACGGCCAGGCTGGGTCAGACCAAAGGTCCATGCAGCCCAGTGTCCTGTCTGCCCACAGTGCCCAATGCCAGATGCCCCAGAGGGAGTGAACAGACCCCTGACAAACCGAGGCTAGAGCCACCATCCCTACCCATCCTGGCTAATAGCCATTGATGGACCTAACCCCCACAAATTTATCTAGTTCTTTTTAAACCCTGTTAAAGTCCTGATCTTCACAACTTCCTCTGGCAAGGAGTTCCACAGGTTGACTGTGCGCTGAGTGAAGAAAAACTTCCGTTTGTTTGTTTTAAAAGTGCTACCTATTCATTTCATTTGGTGACCCCTAGTTCTTATGTTATGGGAACAAGTAAGTAACTTTTCCTTATGTAACCACCACACCAAGTAGTAGCACTTAGACCACTTACAGCCAGAGATAAGAACAAGGGAGCTCTACAGCTTAAGCTGAGACCCAGCTGACTTCATAGCTCATCTGTAATCTCCCAAGAGTCCAGGTCTGAATCCACCCTATGGTGGCTACACTTGTTCATTTTTTCCACAGCAGGCATGATTTTATGGACCTCCATCATATCCCCCTTAGCTGCCTCTTTTCTAAGCTGAAAAGTTCCAGTCTGTTTACTCTCTCTTCAAATGCGTCCCATTCCAAACCCCTCCTCATTTTTGTTGCCCTTCTCTGAACCTTTTCCAATGCCAAGATACCTTTTTGAGATGAGACGACCACCTCTGTGTGCCGAGTCAAGATTTGGGGGTACCATGAATTTGTATATAGGCAATATATATTTTCTGTCTTATCTAGCCTTAATGGTTCCTAACATTCTGTTACCTTTTTAGACTGCCGCTTTTTAGACTGCATATGGAGTGGATGTTTTCAGAGAACTGTCCGCAATGTCTCCAAGATCTCTCTCAGAACTATCCACAATGACCAAGATCTCCCTCAAGATCCACAATGACTCCTAGTCTGAATCTTCCAACCTTCACCTTCCCATCTCTTGGATCACGTTCACCCGTTCTCTGCTGGCCCGAGAGGCCCCATATGAACTATTTACCCCTGTGTATGGGGTTTATATGCTGCAATCTAGTTCCCCCTTCCCCTTTTCTGTGCACACACAAAGACTGTATCCTCATGCTTAAATTCGACACTTTACACCTAAGCTTAACCAAAGACATTAATTATCTTACCCATTACAAAGATAGCTTGCCCAATTATCACCTCTAATATCATTAACTCACAGACCTTTCATTACCTTTCCCCTCTCCACCCCCCTTCTGTTCTGAAATGTGATTTGTCCTTTTCATATGTGTTCATTTTTTTAATTGTATCCTTTGGTATATATGGTTGTGACTATTTTCTTCCACTATTTGATCTGAGGAAGTGGGTCTGGCCCACGAAAGCTCATCATCTAATAAACCATCTTGTTAGTCTTTAAAGTGCTGCATAGTCCTGGTTTTTGTTTCAGCTAGGAGTCAGGTTTTCTAACCCTTTGCTCATTCCCGTGGTTTTGCTCTGACCCCTCTCCAATGTATCAATGTTCTACTCCAGCCGTGGATCCCACACCTGGCAACAGAGTCCAGCTGTGCCAAACTCAGAGGTAAAATAACCTCTCGTCTCCGGCTTGAGATGCCCCTGGCTACAGAACTCGGCATGGCCTGAGCCCTGCCGGCTGCAGCTTCGCACTTTTCGGGTCATTATCCCCCACACCCCTGAGATCTACCTCAGAGCAGCTGCTTTCCTCTTGAGGCAAGGCCTGCTGGCTTTGTTCCTGCTCTGCATTCAGCTGTAATGAAACACAAACCGTTTGTTTCTGCCCAGCTTACCACGCGAATCCAGATCTCTCTGGTACCAAGGACCTCACCTCTCCCACCTTCCCGATTTTTGTGCCATGGGCTAACTCCGCCAGTGGTGATTTTATCGTTTCTTCCAGGTCATTCATAAAAACGTTAAATAGCATCGCACCAAAAAGAGATTCCCGAGGGACCTCATTAGAAACAGCCCTGTGATATGATGATTCCGTGCTACCAGTCACATTTGGAGAGCTATCCGTCAGCCAGTTTTAATCTATTCAGTGTGGGCCGTGTTGATTTTATATTGCTCTGGTTCTTTAATCAAAATGCAATGAGGAACCAAGTCCAATCCCTTGCAGAAGTCCAAGTTTATTACATAAGAACATAAGAACGGCCGTACAGGGTCAGACCAAAGGTCCATCCAGGCACAGAGACCAGGGACACCATTTCTATCCCCTGGCTAATAGCCTTTTATGGACCTAACCTCCAAGAAATTATCTTCGAACTAGGGTGGGATTTGAATTTCCCGGGCTTCATTTGCATAAAGCCGGGTGCTGCCATTTTTAAATGTCCGCTAGTGTGGACTCTGTGCTGCGCGGCTACACGCGTCACGGACTAGGTAGTTCGGACTAGGCTTCCTAGTCCGAACTACCGTTACTCTTCGGGAAATTCAAATCCCGGGCTTCATTTGCAACTCCGGTTGCCTACATTACCCTTATAGTCTTAGCCTTCACAGCCTCCTCTGGCAAGGAGTTCCACAGGTTGACTACGCGCTGTGTGAAGAAGAACTTTCTTTTATTAGTTTTAAACCTGCTACCCATTAATTTGGTGTCCTCTAGTTCTTCTATTTTGGGAACTAATAAATGACTTTTCTTTATTCACCCTCTCCACACCACTCATGATTTTACAGACCTCTATCATATCCCCGCTTAGTCTCCTCTTTTCTAAACTGAAAAGTCCCAGTCGCTTTAGCCTCCCTTCATTTGGGACCCGTTCAATGCTACACATCCATCACACTTGTAATTACATCAAGAAAAGGATACGCAGTTACTTTGACACCCTCTATTGTCCATAAATCCATGTAGACATACATTAATTCCGCTGGCCTCCTTTAATTCTTCATGAATTGAGTCCCAAATCAGCTGCTACATGATCTTGTCCAGGATCAACGTCCATCTGACAGGCCTGTAATTTTCCGTGTCATCCTGGTGACCCTTTTTAAACTATTGGCGCCAGATGACCTTGTTCGAGTCTTCTAGAACTTCCCCGGAGTTCCAAGGCTTCATGAAACCAACTGTCCGGCGAGATCCTTGGGCAATTCTTTGAAAACTCTTGAATGCACGTTAGCTGGAGCGGCTGGCGTTATTAACTGTTAACTAGTTTTAAGCTGCCTGATGTTGCTTGTGGCAAAGGACTTGAATAGAGCAGCCAGTCCCCAGCCTGCAGTTCTGTGTCTGGAGTCAGCTGGAACCAAGGAGAGTAATAGAGAACTTGAAGGCTCTAGGAGGAGCCCCAACTAGAATGGAGCAGCAGGAAGGACTATGGGGAAAACTCCACGGTCCGCACTCCCATACACCTTCCCTTGCCAGAACAATGGCTCATGCACGGCTTTCGGGGATCCTCTGCTTCTGCAAAAGCAGGCTCAGCACTCGCACCCGGATCTCCTTGATCTTCATGCCATAGACCAGGGGGTTCAGCGTGGGGGGCACCAGGAGATAGACGTTGGCCAGCAGGATGTGAACGTGGCGGGGGACGCTGTTGCCGAAGCGGTGGATGCAGAAGGAGAAGAAGGACAGCGTATAGAAGATGGTGAAGACACAGATGTGGGCACCACAGGTGCTAAAGGCCTTGAGGCGGGCGTCCTTTGAAGAGATTCTGAGCACCGCCCGGAGGATCAGGACATAGGACACCACGATGAAGATGGCATCTAAGCCAGTGGTCAAGGAAGCGCCCACTAAGCCATAGATGTTGTTGATGGTTATGTCAGCACAGGCCAGCTTGGCGACACCCATGTTATCACAGTAGGTGTGGGGGATCACATTGGTCCGGCAGTACGGTAACCTCTTGAGGAGGAGAACCACCGGTGTCACTGCACAAACACTCCGGACAACCAGCACTATGCTAATTTTCCCGATGGCCCAGGTGGTCAAGATGGCCGTGTACCTCAGGGGCTCACAGATGGCGATGTACCGATCGAAGGCCATGGCCAACAAGATGGCCGACTCTGAGACGAAGAGACCGTGGACGAAGAATACCTGCGTGAGGCAGGCCTCAAAGGCGGTCTCCCCCGCGTCCCACCAGAATATGGCCAACATCTTGGGCATTATGACCAAGCAGAGGATAATGTCATTGAAGGCCAGCATGGCCAGGAAGAGGTACATGGGCTTATGGAGGCTCTCATCTCTCATTACGATCAGGATCAAGATGCTGTTACCCAAGAGAGCCACTAAGAACATGGAGCAGAAGGGGATGGAGAACCAGACGTGCTCAGCTTCCCAGAGGGGTTGGAGAGGGTGTAGTTGAAAGCTGACATAACCCAGTGCCGACCGCTTGGCTGATGCCACTGAAGACTAAAGAAACATGGAAATAAAACACAACAGGGATGTGACTGGGCTTGTAACTAAAAGGTTACGGGAACTTTCCACTTAAAACCATAATGGATTTTTGAGTGGGCCAAAAGAATTCATCCTTCCCATTGCTTTCTCTAGATCAGTGTTTCTTAAACTTTTTAAGAAAGAGGAACACCAAACAATATATATATATATTACTGAGGAACACAAGGATTTTTTTGAGAAAAAAAAATGCTGGGGAAAAATTATTGAGCAAAAAAAAATAGGGTCAAGGGGAAAGTTTTTGAGAAAAAAAAAGGTCGCCTGCCCCTTTAAATGGTGGCCATTTTGATCTTTGTTGTTCTCTGCAGCACACTTCCGACTGCCTCGCGGCACACCGCTGTGCCTCGGAACACAGTTTATGAAACACTGCTCTAGATCAATGGTCTCCCGCCTTCTCATTCCATAGTACACCTCAGCTCAGACTGGTTCCAACAAGAACAAACTCCCCCATCCTCCCAGGCCCCCAGCCCCACCACCGCTTGGGTCTGTGGTTGCCCCAGTCTGTGCCTCATTGGGACAGCCTAGGTAGAGCATTCGTGCTACATGGGCTGGCGAGAAGCACAGCTCTGTGCATGGTGGCTCCGCGCCTGCCTGGTCATATCAAAGTAGCGCTCTAAACCACCGGCTGCAAAAGGAATTGGATTGCGGAGCCGGAATGAGATCTACCCCTGAGAATGGCTCCCAAGGACACCCCCTCGACTGGTCCCCTTGGAAATGAGATGGGCAAAGCCAGGGAAACCACTTCTCTGGGGACCAACCTGACCTCAGGAAGGGCTGGAATCTCCATCCCTAGAGGTTTTTAAGTCCTGGCTTGACCAAGCCCTGGCTGGGATGATGGAGTTGGGGTTGCTCCTGCTTTGGGCAGGGGGCTGGACTGGATGAGTCTCTTCCAGCCGTAGGATTCTATGACCTATGATCAGCAAGAGGCACTGATAAGCTCCAGGAGAGGCTGGACTGCTCTAGGCCTTCGCCCACAAACTTCTAGGCGTTCGCACAGCCCCCCGCACGGCCCCTTTTTCATTCTGCTATTTCACCTCTGAGAAACCAATCAACCTGCTCCCGCTGCTTCCTCTGCTGGTGCGGCGTGCAAATCCCCCCTTCAATCAGCCCCCTGCCCTCTGCAGGGCAGAAGGGATGCAGGGCCACCTCTTCCTCTACCCCCCTTCCATGTCCAGCTGCCTGTCTCTGTTTCCCAGGGCGGGTGGGGAAGCACTGGGATGGGTTCCCTGGGATGGGGGTGGAATCTCCATCCTTAGAGTTTAAGTCCAGACTTGACCAAGCCCAGGCTGGGATGATGGAGTCGGGGTTGGTCCTGCTTTCGGCAGGAGTTGGACTCGATGATTCCTGAGGTCTCTGCCCACCCCAGGTGTCTATGACTCTAAGGTTAATCTAGTCTTTCCCAGTGTGCTGCGGAGGGATGATCATGCAGACACAACAGCTGTCCCTGTCCACAGGGCTTGCTCCTCATCAGAGAAAGCCATCAGCTTGATTGGACACAAGTTCTTATTGAAAAACTCACACAGTTGTTTACATCTTTTGATCTCCTAGGTGTTTGCTAACTGATGGCTTAATTATTGCTCTAGTATCTGCAGGTACTGATATTAAGCCGGCTGCTCTGTACTTCCCTGGGTTGCTCATACTCCCCCCTTTTTATGGTTGGAAACTCTCTTTGCCCATTTCCCTCTCTCTGCGCTCGAGTTCTCAGCGTCCGTGCCTAAGGGCTCAGAGGTCGCTTCAGGCAGCTGCTGGAGTATTGCAGGGTGAATTGCCGCAGGTCCTGCTGCCTTGGAGAGATCCGAGTCATTCTCCACTTCTGTGGTAGGCACCTGTCAACAATGGACCCAGGGTGTCTTTTCCGTAAGGAGCAGCAAAGGGACCATGCGCTGCAAACCCTGTGAAATCTCTCCCCTGCCCCCGAGCCGTGAGCCGCTCTGAGCAGGGTCCCCGGCCGGCCGCAGACTCACCCACCGCACTGTGCTCTCTGCCCTGGGAGCGTCAGGAGAGGATGCCCTGAACGGGGCTGACCGGGCCTGCGGATGAGAATCCCTTTGTACGGTGGGAACTTGCCGGCTCCGACACAGCCTGTGTGAATAGGAGACTATGGGTCTGTCTCCCAGAGCCTCTTTGAGTATGGTATCCTGTTCCAATATAGGCTGTAGTTTATTGATAATGTGTTGGACAGGTTTAAGTTGGGGGTTGTAGGTGATGACAAGTGGTGTTCTATTGTTGGTTTTCTTGGGTCTGTCTTGAAGTAGATGGTTTCTAGGTATTCGTCTGGCTCTTTCAATTTGCTTTTTTGTTTCTCTGGGTGGGTAGTTGAGATTTATAAATGCTTGGTAGAGATCCTGAAGCTTCTGGTCTCTGTCAGTGGGGTTAGAGCAGATGCGGTTGTATCGAAGGGCTTGGCTATAGACGATGGATCGTGTGGTGTGTTCTGGATGGGAGCTGGATGCATGTAGGTAACTGTATGAGTCAGTGGGTTTTCTGTAGAGAGTGGTGTCTAATTTTCCATTGTTGATTTGTACGGTGGTGTCCAGGAAGTGGATCTCTCGTGTAGAATGGTCCAGGCTGAGGTTGATGGTGGGGTGTAGGTTGTTGAAATCTCTGTGGAATATCTCCAGTGTTTCTTGGCCATGTGTCCAGATCATAAAGATGTCATCGATGTACCGTAGGTAGAGGAGGGGTGAAAGGGGACGGGAGTTGAGGAAACGTTGTTCTAGGTCAGCCATAAAGATGTTAGCATACTGTGGGGCCATGCGTGTACCCATGGCTGTGCCGCTGATCTGGAGGTATAAGTTGTTCTCAAACTGGAAATAATTGTGGGTGAGAACAAAGTTACATAGGTCTGCTATCAGGTTGGCAGTAGTGTCCTCTGGGATAGTGTTTCTAATTGCTTGTAATCCGTCTTCATGTGGGATGTTGGTATATAGAGCTTCTACATCCATGGTGGCAAGGATGGTATTATTGGGGAGGTTATCGATGTTTTGTAGTTTCCTTAGGAAGTCAGTAGTGTCTCGGAGATAGCTGGGGGTATTGGTTACGAAGGGTTTGAGAAGAGTGTCTACATAGCTGGATAGACCAGTAGTGAGCGTGCCAATACCAGAGATGATGGGACGTCCGGGGTGCCCAGGTTTATGGATCTTGGGAAGTAGATAGAAAGATATGACTCTCAGGTTAATCTAGTCTTTCCCAGTGTGCTGCGGAGGGATGGTCATGTGGACACAACAGCTGTCCCTGTCCACAGGGCTTGCTCCTCATCAGAGAAAGCCATCAGCTTGATTGGACACAAGTTCTTATTGAAAAACTCACACAGTTGTTTACATCTTATGATCTCCTAGGTGTTTGCTAACCGATGGCTTAATTATTGCTCTAGTATCTGCAGGTACTGATATTAAGCCGGCTGCTCTGTACTTCCCTGGGTTGCTCATACTCCCCCCTTTTTATGGTTGGAAACTCTCTTTGCCCCTTTCCCTCTCTCTGCGCTCGAGTTCTCAGCGTCCGTGCCTAAGGGCTCAGAGGTCGCTTCAGGCAGCTGCTGGAGTATTGCAGGGTGAATTGCCGCAGGTCCTGCTGCCTTGGAGAGATCCGAGTCATTCTCCACTTCTGTGGTAGGCACCTGTCAACAATGGACCCAGGGTGTCTTTTCCGTAAGGAGCAGCAAAGGGACCATGCGCTGCAAACCCTGTGAAATCTCTCCCCTGCCCCCGAGCCGTGAGCCGCTCTGAGCAGGGTCCCCGGCCGGCCGCAGACTCACCCACCGCACTGTGCTCTCTGCCCTGGGAGCGTCAGGAGAGGATGCCCTGAACGGGGCTGACCGGGCCTGCGGATGAGAATCCCTTTGTACGGTGGGAACTTGCCGGCTCCGACACAGCCTGTGTGACGGGCGCCGCCGGGGAGAGCGG